CTGGCGGCGGAGGCGGCGGCGCTGCGGCAGCAGCAGGCGGGGCGCTCGGCCATGGGCGAGCTGTACGCGCGGGAGCTGCGGGACATGCGGGGCACCGTGCTGCGCCTGGGCGCCGAGAAGGGCCAGCTGCGGCTGGAGAGGGCGCGCCTGGCCGAGGATGTGGCGGCGCTGCGGGGAAGGCTGGAGGATGAGGCTCGGCAGCGCTCGGAGCTGGAGGCGGCGGCCCGAGGGTTGGCGCAGCGCTCGGCGCAGGAGGAGCGGGCGCGGGCGCCGCTGGAGGAGCGAGCCCGGGCGCTGCGGGAGGAGGCGGAGCAGCTGCGGAGGCAGCACCGAGCCGAGGTGGGAGCGCTGCTGCGGGGGGCGCGCCCCGAGCTGCCCGCAGAGCCGCCCGCATCGCTGCGCCCCGGGGTCACCGCAGCGCTCCGAGACCTGCGCGCACAGCTGGAGGGCACGGCGGCCCGCAGCACCCTGCAGGCCGAGGAGTGGTTCCGCGGTGAGTGACACGGTGTGGCCGCCGAACGCGCCGGTGGCATCCCGGTACATCCCCGGGGACAGCCTCGGCTGCCGCGCTCCGGGATGGGGTTGGAGCAAAGGGAGCGAGGGAGGCCCGAGGGATGCGCGGACCCCCCCCAAAACTCCACTCTCTGTGTCGTGTTAGGGTGCCCCCACCTCTACTGTGCTCCTGGGAGGTGTTGGGATAGCGAGCCCCATACACTGTGCTCGGGGAGGGCGTTAGTGTCCCCCACCCCAGCAGTGTGCGGGGACCTGCCGTACCCCCAGAGCCCCGGGAGCCTTCAGGGTGACCCCATCCCTGCCACCAGAGCCCCGGGAGGCCTTCAGGGTGACCCCATCCCTGCCCCCAGAGCCCCGGGAGCCTTCAGGGTGACCCCATCCCTGCCCCCAGAGCCCCGGGAGCCTTCAGGGTGACCCCATCCCTGCCCCCAGAGCCCCAGTGCCGCCTTCAGGGTGACCCCATCCCTGCCCCCAGAGCCCTGGGAGCCTTCAGGGTGACCCCATCCCTGCCCCCAGAGCCCCAGTGCCTGCGCTGCGCTGCCCGACTCCCCTCTGCCCCGCAGGGAGTTTCCAGGAGGGTTCCAGGATCACTGGCTCGGCACCCAGCAAGTTTTTGGGGTGCCGGGCCCCGCTGACGCTGCAGGTGTTGTGCTGGTCCCTCTGGGCCGGGGCGAGGCCAGGGGTGATGTTTGCAGCGCTGGGGGGAGCGGGGCAGTACCGCATCCCTGCCGCGGGAGGGGAGGACAGGGAGTGGCTCTTTTTGGGGGGCGGGGGGACACTAAGGTGCTGGGGGGGGTGTGGGTGGGGTCGGCACCCCAGGCTGAGCCCCCGGCAGCGCAGGGCGGGTCCAGCACCGCGGACAGCGGCGGTTCAGCACCGCGGGCAGCGGCAGCCCCGACCCCGGGGTGCCCCGGGAGCCGCAGGATCGGTGCTCCCCATTGCTGTCCCCTCATTCTGTGTCCCCACCTCGTCCCCTGGGGCGTTCGCAGGGCGCTGCGGTAAAACCCCCCGCCGCGGGGCAGGGTTGGCGTGTCTGGGATGGGGGGCAGCACCGTGGGGCAGGGGCTGTGGCACAGAAGGGGAGGCGGGGGCTGCAGCGAGGATCTGCTCCGGCTGAAGTCCAGGATGGCAGAAACACGCCCGAGTTGGTTTTGCCCGTCCTCCTTCACTTCCCGGCAGAGATGGAGTGAGGGGTGGGGAAGGAAGGCAGAGTGCTCAGGGAGCTGGGGGGGCTCTGCAGAGGACAGGGATGTGTGGCACGGACAGGTTTGAGTTTCCCCGAGGAGGGGAGGCTGCAGCCTCCTTCCCTCCCGCCCTGCAGCTCCCTTTTCCATTGCAGTGAGGCTGGACAAGCTCTCGGAGGTGGCCAAGGTGAACACGGACGCCATGCGCCTGGCCCAGGAGGAGATCTCCGAGTACCGCCGGCAGCTCCAGGCCAAGACCACCGAGCTGGAGGCCCTCAAAGGGACCCAGGAGTCGCTGGAGAGGCAGAGGCAGGACTCGGAGGAGCGCCACCATGCAGATGTCCTGTCCTACCAGGTGCCGTGGCGCAGTGGGCAGCGGCCCAGGCTGGGGAGGGACCATCCAGCTGCTGGGGAGGGGCAGCGCTGGGATTTTGGCTTCGGGGATGTGAAGGAGTTGTCAGGCCTTCCCCAGCCCACAGGGATCAGGATCCCAGAGCCTGAGGTGGTGTCTGGGCTGTCGTGTCCCTCAGCAGCCCTGCAGCTGCCCCATGGCTCTGCCTGGCACAGAGCTGCCCATGAGGATGGTCACAAACACCATGGAAGTGTGTCCGGGGTTTGGGCCACATCCTGTGCCCCAGATCTGGGAAGTGAAGGCTGCCCTGGTGACCTTGGAATGAAGTGCTGTCCCCACGGTGGTGCCCATCAGCCTCCAGCTGGAGTTCAGCTCCCGTGGGAACTGAAGCATTCAGTGAACTGAACTTCACCCCTGGAAACCTTCCCACTGCTTGTCCGTGCTGGAGGCAGGGCTGGGAGCAGGCCAGGGGCTCAGCTGGAGTGCAGCTCCTTGCTCAGGGCATGCAGGGCTCCTGCCAGATCCCCCAAGGCAACTGGACACCCTGGAACCACCCCTGGCTGTGTCCCCTTCCCCGTGTGTCTGCAGGAGGAGGTGGCTGCAGACAGCTCCATGAGGACAGCGTGGTGCTGAAGACTGGGGGACAGTTTAGGGGTGCTCTTGTGTCCCCCTTCTCCTGGGGACTGTGCCATGTGTGTCCCCCCTCGCCATTATTGCTCTGTCTGCCCACAGGAAACCATCCAGCAGCTTGACAGCGAGCTGAGGAACACCAAGTGGGAGATGGCAGCTCAGCTCCGTGAGTACCAGGATCTGCTCAACGTCAAGATGGCCCTGGACATCGAAATTGCTGCCTACAGGTACAGGGGGGGCAGGGGAAGGTGTGGGGGGGTCTCAGCCAGGTCTGCTCAAGGTCCCTTGTTAACACCTGGGCTCTTTTTGGTGAGCAAATCATCCATCCTCCAAAGCCGTGGTGGGCAATGTCCAGCTGGGTGATGCAGTGGTGTGTGGAGGGAAGGGCAAGAGAACCTGCTCATCCCAGGGCACATGAGCAGGAGGAGCATCCAGGACGGGGCAGGAGGGAGATGGAGCTGCAGGACATTGCTGGCAGCTCCTGGTCACGGGAGGAGAGGAGAAGCCATCACTGAGTGCCCTGCTCTGGTCTCTCCCTGGCAGAAAGCTCCTGGAAGGGGAGGAGTATCGGCTCGAGACTGGCATTGGGATGCTCTCCTACCCCGAGGTGGTCCCCAAGCCTCCCAGCATCACCACCAGCATCAAGGTGAAGAGCGAGGAGAAGATCAAGGTGGTGGAAAAATCAGAGAAGGAGACGGTGATTGTGGAGGAGCAGACAGAGGAAATCCAGGTGACCGAGGAGGTCACAGAGGAGGAGGAGGCTGAGAAAGAGGCTGAAGAGGAAAAAGCTGAAGAGAAAGAGGAAGAGGCAGAGGAAGAAGAAGAGGAGAAAGCTGAAGAAGAGGGTGAAGAAAAGGCCAAGTCTCCTGCAAAGGAGGAGGCCAAGTCCCCAGAGAAACCTGAGTCCCCCTCAAAGGAGGAGGCCAAGACCCCAGCAGTCAAGTCCCCTGAAAAGCCCCCGTCCCCCTCAAAGGAGGGGGCCAAGACCCCAGCTGTGAAATCCCCAGAAAAACCTGCAACCCCCTCAAAGGAGGAGGCCAAGAGCCCAGCTGTGAAGTCTCCAGAGAAACCCCCGACCCCCTCAAAGGAAGAAGCCAAGACTCCAGCTGTCAAATCCCCTGAAAAGCCACCAACACCCTCTAAAGAGGAGGCCAAAACCCCAACAGTGAAATCCCCAGAGAAACCCACACCTCCCTCAAAGGATGAGGCCAAAACCCCAACAGTGAAATCCCCAGAGAAACCCACACCTCCCTCAAAGGATGAGGCCAAAACCCCAACAGTGAAATCCCCAGAGAAACCCACACCTCCCTCAAAGGATGAGGCCAAAACCCCAACAGTGAAATCCCCAGAGAAACCCACACCTCCCTCAAAGGATGAGGCCAAGACCCCGACTGTCAAGTCCCCGGAGAAACCCCCAGCCCCCTCTAAAGAGGAGGCCAAGAGCCCAGCTGTGAAATCCCCAGAGCCACCTGCAACTCCCTCTAAGGAGGAAGCCAAACCCCCATCTGCCAAATCCCCAGAGAAGCCCCCAAGCCCCTCGAAGGAGGAGGCCAAGCCCCTGGCTGTGAAGTCCCCAGAGAAAGCCAAATCTCCCATGAAGGAGGAGGCCAAGTCTCCCATGAAGGAGGAGGCCAAGTCTCCCATGAAGGAGGAGGCCAAGTCTCCGCAGAAGGAAGTGGCCCCAGCCAAGGAGCCAAGCCCTGCTCCGAAGGCCCCCACGAAGGAGGTGAAGGCTCCCTCCAAGCCTGAGGAAGCTCCCAAAAAGGACATCCCAGCCAAGGCAGAGGAGAAACCCAAGGAGAAGGCAACTGCTGTGCCAGAACCTCCAGCTCCACAGGCCAAAGAGACCAAGCCAAGCCCCAAACCTGACAAAGAGGGAAAAGCTGAGGAGGCTCCAGCAAAACCTCAGCAGGAGGTCAGCAAAGCAGCCACCAAGGAGGCTGAAAAGCCAAAGGCTGAGGAGAAGGTAGAGGAGCCCAAGAAGAAAGTAGAAGAACCCAAGAAGGAGAAGGTGGAGGAGCCCAAGAAGGCGGAAGAGCCCAAGAAAGAAAAGGCTGAGGAGCCCAAGAAGGAGAAGGCAGAGGAGCCTAAGAAGGTGGAGGAACCCAAGAAGGAGAAAGCAGAGGAACCCAAGAAAGTGGAGGAACCCAAAGCTAAAGCCAAACCCAAAGATGAGCCCAAAGCCAGTAAGGAACCCCCCAAAGCCGAGCCTCCCTCCGGCAAGGAGGGCACAGCCCCAGAGCCGGGCAAGAAGTGATGGAAGAGTCCCGGGCGCCGAAGGCACCTCCGGGCACAGGAGCTGCTCCGCTCCCTCCGACGGCTGGGCCCAGGGTGGGACCCCAGGGACCCCCAGGGCCCCCCAGGCCAGGCTTTCCCTTAGCAATAGGCCCGTGAGAGCCCCTCGGGTGGGCGACTGCTTCCCTCGCAGAACGTGATATTCGCCGAGCGCCACATTTAAACACTTGAATTATAACCCAGGAGAAGAGGGGGACCCCCAGGGGAACCCCACCACCCTTCTCCTCTAAGTGCATTTATTTAATGTATGTGCAATGGATGGATGAGTGCAATGCAGAGCTGTAGCTGCTTGGGGGGGCTGGCGGGGTCCTGCCCTGCCCTGGGGGGTGACAGTCCCTCTGGGCAGAGGTGGGAGAGGCTGGGAGCTGCTGGAATGCTCACAGACACACACGGTGCACCAGGAACCTCAGCCCACTGATCTTTGCTTTCTGTGCAATAACCAAATAAAAAGTGCTTACAGAGACACCCTGGCTCTGCTGGCTTGTCCTGGGGAGAAGGCAGGGAAAGAGGCTGGGAATGTGGGGCTGGGATCTATCTAGATCTGGGATCTAGAGACCCCAGGGCTGGGGTGGGTGACACGAGGTTTTCCAGAGGGGAAACACCCCCCACAGCAGGCACGGAGGGCCCTGTGTCCTGAGGATGGAAACAGGGCCAGCCCTGCCACGCTTTCCAAAGGATTTCAGTGTGTTTTTTCCCCTCCTTTTTCTAAAGCATGGTTCCCAAGGGACTGGGAGAGCCTGGTTTAACCCGAGGGCTGCGGCACAGCCCGGCACTGCAGCACTGCACCGAGGGCAGGGGCTGGGGGGAGCAGGAGAGGGGCTCTCACACCTCCTGGGGGAGAAGTCACTCCCAGGGGAGACAGGCTGGGATGAAGGAGGGACAGTGACCTTTGGAGGGGGGATGGAACCCCAGCTCTGCCAGTCTGGGACCCCCACACAGAGCAGTGCAGGGGAGGGGGCACATCCCAACTCCCTGATGCCAACCAGGACAAGCCAGGTGTCCCAACCCTCCTCCTGCCTCTCCCAGGACCCTGCTCTGCTCCCCTCCAAGCCCAGGGAGCAGAGAAGCCCCCCAGCATGCAGGATTGTGCTGAGTGGGATGGCAGCCAGCCGGCAAGGACAGGCTGGGGCTGCAGTGCGGGCTCTGGAAAAGGGCTATTTTTAGCCACCTCAGTTTTTAGCCATCTCAGCTCCCCAGTCCCTGTGGTGGGGAGGGAAGGCAGGAGGCAGGGAGCATCCCTGGAAAGGCTGTCAGAGCCCAGGGCTGGCACACAAGGCTTGCTGCAGCCCTCACGGATCCCTCATCCCAGCCCCTCTGCACAGACTAGGCCACCCATGCAGTTTTTTCTTTAGCTCAGTTTAATCCCTTTGACTACAAAACCTTCAAACAAAGCCCAAAATATTGTAAAAGGAGCAGAAAGGTCAGGATGGGAGCACTCCTCCCACAGAGTGAACGAGTCCCATCCCAGAGTGCGGCCCAGGGCTGCTCAGCGATGGCTGAAGAACCCCTGGGGGTAGTTGAACTTGAAGGGTTTCAGGCGCAGGGGACCCCTGGAAGAGGAGAAGAAGGAGAGGCTGTGACCTCAGGGATCAGGGACATCCCATGGCACCCCCAGAAAAGACCCAGTTCCAGGGCTACTGCCCAGCTGTGCAGGCCAATCCCCCTAGGACAGGCTCCCAGGAACAGCAATGCCACCAGAGTCCCTGGCAGCACCCTCAGCCCCCAGCCAGCTCCCACCTGACCAGGCGCAGACACATCTTCTCCTGGGGGAACTCCTTGGGCCCCTCCACGCTGGGATCGTGGGGCTCTGTCTCCAGGTACACATCCAGCACCATGCACAGGCGCTGCAGCTGGTTGGTCAGCAGCTGGTAGCCCGGTTTGGGCCCCCACAGCTCCTTGTAGTAGACATTGACCTCGCTCTCCATGGCCTGGAAAACAGGGATGAGGTTGGATGAGGCTTGGATGTTTACTCTGCATTCCCAGGAGCGTCCAGCCACCAGCTCACTCCAACATTCCCTTGTTAGAGACACAGAACTGCTGGGGACACCTCCAAAAATGCAGCCCCACCCCACAGTACCCGAATGTTGTCGTCGTTGCTGCTGTTGCGCTCTCCCTTCCAGTTCAGGCACAGGCTGAAGACGGGAGGCAGCGTGGAATACCCGGGGTTCAGCACCACGGCCGCCTGCAGCTTGGCTGAGCAGGGAAAAGGTGTCACTCACAGGGCCTCCAGCCAGCTGGATTGCCCATGAAGCTGCCCGGGGATGAGGATTGGAATTCCCAAAGGAAGGAAAGGTGCCTACCTGTTCCCCTCTCTATCAGGGCCATGTAGTAGAGGTGAGTGTCTTCAGCCAAGCCAGCCTCTATCACATCTTTAGTGTAGGGCAGCTCCTGAGAGGAGGAGAAGGAATGATGGCTCCAGTGCCACGTGGGAGCTGGAAGGGAGCTGGGAGGGAGGGATTGAGCCCTGGTGCTCAGCACTTACAGCATAATCCTCGTAGGGAATGGCAGTCCACTTCACCAGGCGCGAGACGATTTTGGTCGGGAAGAGCTGCTGGCACTCGCTGGACACCGGCACAACGCCGTGCTCTGAAAGCAAGGACAGGGCCCTGAGCAGGGCAGGGCTGGGGACACTGCTCTGCTGCTCCCTGCAGTGGGGACACTCCTAAAGCGGGACCTGGGCACGACCTTGTCCTTCAGCAGCTCCATCAGCCGCCCAGCAGAGACCCTGGCTGTGATCCCATGGGATCCCTGGGCTGTGATCCCATGGGATCCCTGGCCTGTAATCCCGCTGGATCCCTGGCCTGTAATCCCACACAATCCTTGGCCTGTGATCCCACTGGATCCCTGGCCTGTAATCCCACACAATCCTTGGCCTGTGATCCCATGGGATCCCTGGCCTGTAATCCCACACAATCCTTGGCCTGAGATCCCGCTGGATCCCTGGCCTGTAGTCCCACAGGATTCCTGGGCTGCTTGACAGGCACACAAACATGCATGACGTGCATCTCACCTCCCATCACGTCCCAAATCACTTCCCAGTGCTGGGATGGCCCTTCCCAAAGACGTGCTGGGCACTGGAAGGGCCAGCGCCTTCCTCTACCACCCAAAATGGGGCAGCTCCTTCATTCCTACAACTCCCAAAGTCTGAGGGAACAACTGAGAATGCTGAGGGTGGCACTGCCACCCATCAAAATGTGACATCTCCTCTCCTGTTCCACTCTTCCTCCCAGTTCAGGCACTGGCTGAAGATGGGCAATAGCTTGGAACAACTGGGATTCAGGACCACGGCCACTTGGAGCTTGGCTGAGCAGGGAAGAGATGCTTCCCTGCATGAGGACCCTGCCTCTGCACCCCTGTCCCCAGGGAAGGGCAGGGAGCCTGGCAGGACCCTCTCGCTGCACCCCTGTCCCCAGGAAAGGGTGGGGAGCCTGGCAGGACCCTGTCACTGCACCCCTGTCCCCAGGGAAGGGCGGGGAGCCTGGCAGGACCCTGCCACTGCACCCCTGTCCCCAGGGAAGGGTGGGGAGCCCAGCACTCACCGAGGGATGCAAACTGCTTGTGCAGGGCCAGGCGGGACTGCAGGCGGCTCCGGAGCAGCTTGACAGTCAGCTCCATGTGGCTGGCACTCAGGGAATTGTCAGCAGCCACTGTGTGCTGTGGGCAGGAGGGATGTCAGGCCAGGAGCCACATCCCCACAGGGACAGGCACCCATCATTCAGTCACCAAAAGGACTTGGACTATCACGTGTGTGACATGAAATACGTCAGCGTGGCCTCACACACGGATCCAGCCCAGCAAAGCCTCTCAGACATGGTTTGAGAGCAGCTGGTGCCAGCAGGGGGATAGGATGGGACCCCAAAGCTCAGCCCAATGTTGTGGGGGACAGGGGAGGGGTTTGTGCCATGCCTGAGGCTGATCCTTGGGGAAATGCAGGCCACCCAGCTTCTGCACCCACACATAGGGGTGTCCCAGCTCTGTCACGTAGTCACTCAGGGTCAGGATGCTGTGGGGACAATGAGAAAGGGTCACATCAAGCCAGGGAGGATTTGCTATGCTGGAGCAAGCAATGGCCTGGGTGACACTCACCCCACTTTATCAAACTGGAACTGGTTGGCCGGGTTGGGCGTTTTCCTCCCGTGGTCCCCTGGATAGAGGCAGTTGAGGAGGGAGTCTGGGGAGAGCAGGTCCCTGGCAGAAAGAGGAGAGAGGTAAATCAGCAGCACTCTGGGCTCTTCATCCCTCCATGAACAGGCCTCAAGCCCAGAGAAGGGGATTATGAGCTTCATGAGTTCAAGACCAGAATGACTTTCCCCTAATTCCACTCCAAAGGGAGAGCTGTCTCCTCCCTGCCTGGAGCAGGATGGAAATCACAGGGCACCAGCTCCTGCTCTTCCAGGAAGCTGCTCCCTCCAGTGCCACAAAATTCCCCATGTCTGACTGTGCTCACAGGACTGACCAGGCACAATGGGCTGTAGGATTTGGGGTCTGGCTCAAGGCACAGCCTCCCTGGTTTGGGATAACACAGCCAAGGGCAGCAGGAGGGAGGGAATGCCCTGCACAGGATCTCCAGCTGCTGTCACAGAGGGTTTGGGGTGTCTGCAGCAAGAAGAAAACCCCAATAGGACGAGGAGGCTGCACATGGGACAGGCTGGGAAGGCAGCACTTACTCCCAGGCAAGCCCAGACCAGCTTCTCCCACCTCCTTTTTCCTTCCCTTTCCCCTTTTCCCTCCCTTTTCCACCTCCTGTCCCAGGGAGAGCCACTAGGGAGGTGGCAGCTGCTGGGAGCTCCCTGGGCAGGCTCCCAAAGCTGCCACTTCAGCTTTTCCTCGCACCAACCAGGCTCCAGCAGGCTCTGGGGAGCACAGGCAGAGGCAGCTGCATCTCTGGAGCTCAGGACAAGGTGACCTCAGGAACAGTCAGGTGAGGGAACTGCCTGTGGGAGGGAGGCTGAGTGTGTCAGCAGGAGAGACTTTCCCTCAGTTCCTGACAGCTCTGGCACTGCTGAGAGGTTCCCAAACTCCTGACTCTGGCTTGTCATGGCAGAGGAGAGGGGGAGGAAGGTGCTTGGGCTGTGCAGGGCTCCCGAACCCACAGGGGCAGGGGGATCCCTGTCTGATGAGCTCTGGGCTGTGTAGGGTTTCTGGATGCCATGGAATCACTGCTTAATGAGCTCTGGGCTGTGCAGGGCTCCAAAATCCCATGGAGTCACTGCTCAATGATCTCCAGATTCTACAGGGCTCCAAAATCCCATGGAGTCACTGCCCAATGATCTCCAGGCTCTGCAGGGCTCCCAAATCCCATGGAGTCATTGCCCAATGACCTCCAGGTTCTACAGGGTTCCTGCATTGACTGGAGTCACTGTCCAGTGATCTCCAGGCTCTCCAGGGCTCCAAAATCCCATGGAATCACTGCCCAATGAGCTCCAGGCTCTGCAGGGCTCCAAAATCCCATGGAGTCACTGCCCAATGATCTCCAGATTCTACAGGGCTCCAAAATCCCGTGGAGTCACTGCCCAATGACCTCCAGGTTCTACAGGGTTCCTGCATTGCATGGAGTCACTGTCCTGTGATCTCCAGGCTCTTCAGGGCTCCAAAATCCCATGGAATCACTGCCCAATGAGCTCCAGGCTCTGCAGGGCTCCCAAACCCCTTGGAGTCACTGCTTGATGATCTCCAGGCTTGTTGCCCACAGGGCTCTCCTTACCCAGCACTGATGGCCGTGGTCATCTCCATGGCAGTGGTCACCTTGGCTTTCACTGTCATCACGTTGAGGTTCATCAGGTAGTGGAAGGTCAGGTGAAGCACGTTGTCGTCTGCCCACACAGAGGGGGTGACATTGGTGCCTGCTCCAGCTCAGAGAAACCCCTCCACACATCCAGCTCCTGCCAAGGTCCCCAGGGTGCTGCTGGGGTCAGTCCCTGAGCTGCTGTCCCACCCCAGAGCTCCTCACCTTTGCACTTCAGGTCCAAGGTGACAGACAAGGGGTGTCTCTTTAGCATCTCCTTGCGTTTATCGTCCAGCTGCACGCCCAGGGTGGGCCTGCGCCGCTTCTGGGGGGGCAAAACAGCTGTCAGAGCCTTCTCCTGCTCCTCCCCAACTCATGGACCTTCCCAGCACACAGCTCGTTCCCTCAATCCCCCAGCACCATGGCCACAGCTGTCCTGGGAACGGAGAGGAGCAGGAAAGCCTCACTCAGCTCCAGCTGACAGTTCCTGTCATTCCTTCAACTCCAGGGAAAGTCTCCATTCTTGTAGACAAAGCCAAGGACCTGCTGCCCCAAAAGTTTTCCCACTACAAGAGGCAGAACGCAGAATCACTGAATCCTTTGGGTTGGAAAAGCCCTCTGAGAGCATCAAGTCCAACCACCCCTGCAGCACTGCCAAGGCCACCACTGACCCCTGTCCCCATGTGCCACAACCACACAGCCATTCAATTCCTCCAGGGACAGGGACTCCCCCACTGCCCTGGGCAGCTGTGCCAGGGCTGGACTGCCCTTTCTGTGAAGGAATTTTCCCAATATCCTCCTCTGACAAACTCTTTCCTTTCCTCCTGTTCCCTGGAGCAGAGCCCGACACCCCGGCTGTCCCCTCCTGTCAGGAGCTGTGCAGAGCCACAAGGTCCCTCCTGAGCCTCCTTTCCTCCAGGCTGAGCCCCTTCCCAGCTCCCTTCCCTTCTCTGGACACACGAGGCTCTTCCCTTTACCCTTCCCCACAGAACAGCCCCATAGACCTGGCTCTGCTGCTGGGGGCTGGGAGTGGAGGCCCAGAGCCCCTCAGGCTTTGCTGCTGGGAGCAGCCAGCACCTCTGGCCTCTCCTCAGCATCCAGCTGGAAGTATCTGTAGGAGAAACACTTCCTCCAAGGAGTGCTGAGCAAGCCCTGGTGCAGAGAATGCTTTTGGCACGGGATGGACACAGATCCCTCCCCGTTGGACACAGCTCCCTGCCCTCAGGCTATTTATACAAAGTGGAGCAGCTCCAGCCGGAGAGCTGCAGGGATGGGACACGAGAGGAGCAGCTCTGTACCCTGGCTGCTCCTGCATTTGGGACACCAGCTGGAAATGGCAGCTCCTTCCTCCTAAGAAAGGTCAGGATCTGACATCCCTGCACGTCCACGCACACTCCCAGTGTGCAGGGGCAGTTCCCAGCCCCAGCTCTCCCAGTGCCTCCCCTGATGCAACGCTGGGGGAGGACTCAGAGGGGGACAGCGCTGTCCCTTACCGTGGTTTGCTCCTCCTCTGCGTCGGAATCGCTCTCATCATCTGTGCAGAGAGAGGGGTGTCAGCAGGGACCACCAGGGCTCAGCTCTCCCACCCCCAGGGCTTTTTCCAAGCCCTGACTCCCCCTGACAACCCTCTCCCAACAAAAGCAAGGTCCCAGGAGCTGCAGACACACAGGAAAAAATCCCCAGTGCAACAACGAAGCTCACCCTGCGAGTCCTCAGGTGGCTTATAAAGGGCCTTGGCTTCCTCCACGCTCCCTTCAATGGCCACCACCAACTTCTTATCTGCAAAGGAAACAGGAAAACTGAATTAGGAATGCCACTCCTGCTGCAAAGGCAGTGGGAGAGCAGCCCTGCCCCTAAAGCTCCTGGTTAAGGAAACTCCAGCAAAAGGCCAGTGGAAGAGAGGCTGTCTGGAAGGTTCTGGGAGGCCACCACTGGGCTGAATTTCCTGGGAAGGATGAGGTAAGAGAATGAGGAAAATGCTGGGTTTTAAGGAGCTCTCCCTGGAAAACATAAGGGCCAAATCTTTATTAAGAGCCAAGAGAGGATGGGGTCTGGCTGGGACGAACAGGGACTGAGGAGTGGTGTCACCATGGCTGCAGATGCAGCAGGGACCTGGTGTGGCCAAGCACCACCGTGTCCTTCCATGCTCCTCCAGCACTGAGAGGAACAGCTCTCACCACACAGGAGTGTGCACAGGCCAGTGGGATTCCTGACCTCTTCCAGGAAATCCCTCCCAACTCAGGGAGGCTCCAGAAATCCCCTCAAAATTCAAAGCTTCCTGAGGGGATGAAGGTTTCCAGGTGAGCTGTGGGAATGGCCTCTACAAGGTCTGGGGTCCCCACCACCCACAGGTGGCACAAGGCAGGGCGTGACAGCTCTGGGGATGCTGTGACAGCACTGAGCCAGCTCACACAGGCTGCAAGGACACCCCTGCTGACCTTGGGAAGGGGGAAGGGGTGGGAAGGGAGCTTCCCAAGCACTTCTTCCAGCGAGGCAGCTGAGCAAACAAGGTTTCAAATGCTGCTGCCTCACCGTGCCGTGGGGCCACGCTGCTGCTCTGCGCTCAGCAGAATCTGACAGCAGAGCAGGCAGCAGAGAAAGACCCCCAAAAAGTGGTGATTCCTGCAGGCAGGAGTGGAATCTGGCCCATGGGGAGCATCGTGCCCTCAGTGCTCACCACAGGCCTGTCCGTAGGCACTGGCTTGGACGAAGAGGACGTAGAGAGGCGGCGGGAGGTGCCGGGCGGTCTCGTACTGCTTGTGAGCCTGGTCGAAGGGCATGAACAGGTACTCCTGCACAGGCAGGGAGGCCTGGGGAATGACAGGGACAGCCTTCATCACTGGGAAGGGAACAGCTCATCCTCCTCACCCTGAGAGAGCAGGAGACGAAGCCAGCACAGGTGGTGCAGGGTTAAACATGGAGAGCACCAGGAAAGGGCTGGCAGCTGCCTCTGCTGGGAAAGTTTTGGATCTGGAAATAACCCAGTTCCTTCTCCTGTTCTTCCCTCCCAAGGCGGTCACAGGAGGATGGGGCTCTCCAGGGAAAGGCCCATTTAGCAGCTCCTGCAGTTGCAGCTCTGCAGGAATTGCTGCATAAATAAAAAAGGAAACTCTGGGCGGGGTCTCAGATCTGCCCCTTGCCTATCCTGAGTGGGAATGAAACATCTCCAAACCCAAACCAGCCCAGGAGCTGCCCCTCAGAGTGGGACCTCCTGCAGGGCTCAGGTACCTGCATGATGCTGTTGAGTCGAGGCTGGAGGCTGCTCAGATATTCCTTCTTCACTTCAATCTCCTTCAAGATCTTCTCCTTGCTGGTCAGGCACTCCTTGTATTTCTCTGCTAGCCTAGGGGTGGGAATTCTGTCACTGCCACACAGCACAGCTCTAAACCTGCTGGGGACCACCTGGATGATGAGCCCCAGCACTCCTGCCCTGATGTAAGGAACCAGGAGACCTTGGACACGGGGCAAACACAGAGCTCCTAATGCCAAGGGCAAGTGGAGGCAGGAAGGAACTGATTGGAGATGGACAACAGACAAGGAAAAGGGGAAGCTCAGCCTCATGCTGTGCTCCACAAAGGGGCAGCAACTGGATCTTCCTTCAGGTGATCTGCTCCCACAACCTCTCCAAGCTCCCTAAGAGGCTTTGTCACTTCATATCCCCAGAGCCACTTCATGTCACATAGTCAAGGTTTAACAGAGAAACCCCAGGAAAATTCAAGCCCAACACGATGCTCCAAGCTCTGGATACACTTGTGTTTAGGGAGAACACACCAGATCCCCTTATTGCTGCTGACTGCAAGCCCTTTCCCAGCAGGAGCAGGGAATTGGGTGTGGAAGTGACCTGCCCAGGACAAGGGTTCTCCAAAGGGGAACAGACCTGACCTTGCAGATCTGGGATTCTGTTTCCAAGCAAAAGTGTATTTGTGGGGGTCACTGCATATCCCAACAGGCTCCTACACAAGCTCCAGTGTTCGCACACCCTCCCAAAACAGAGCTACTGAAATCCCTGCACACCACTCCAGAGGCACCTCACACAAGGTGGAGAAGAATCCAAAGCCAATCCAATGGGGTTGCACAGCTGAAAACACCAACATAAATTATGGATGGATGTCAACAACCTCAACAACACCACAAAATGCCCAGCGCACCACTGGCATCTGCTTGTGAGCAACTGAACAAGCCACATTCCACCTCAGCAGTGGTGGGAGATGGACAGGGGTACTCCCTAGACCCCACAGAGTGAGGACTGGGAATTCCAAGGCTTCTCAGCAATGTAACGTGCAGCTGAGGGTCTCCATGAGGTTTGCAATATCATTTTTACACACAACCCTCAGAGATCTGCAGGCTGAACACTCTTCTATGCCACAGGCAGAGCCAGCTGGAGGATCCTGGCTGTGCCTTCCACCAGGCAAAAGCAACCAGGTTTTAGGGAAAGGATCTGGGAAAAGGGAAACATGAAGGGTTGGAGGCTGCTCTCATCTGCTCTGCTGAGCTGCCCTCAGGCTGCACCCACCAGCACATTCCAACTGATCTTTCCAGAAGGTGGACACTGCCTGACTGTTATCCAAACACAGGAATGCTGTGTCATGTTTGTTTTTCCCAGGGGGCAGGAGCCAGGAGCAGCTGAGCCCTGGGACAGTGGTGACGCCAGCAGCAGGACACGGGGCTGTCCCAGCCCGGGGGGTTGGCAGCTCCACACCATGGCTTGGAATGGCAGCAGCTCCAGCCAGGATGGGCTCCCTTTGCTCCTTGGGTCATCAGGCAGTGCCAGAGAGCTCCCTGACCTATGGAACAAGGATCCCAGCGAGCCCTGCTCTGCACAGAGGGAATCTCCCAGCTCCCAATAAATGCCTGCTCCACGCTGATCCAAGAGGGTGTGAAAAACTCCATCCCTACATCTGCTCTCCCAACAGCTCTGGGTGTCCTCCATCCCTACATCTGCTCTCCCAACAGCTCTGGGTGTCTGCCCAGATCCCTGGAGCTGGGACATGGAGTGGGGACACCCCTGACCCACCTCTTGCGCTGCTCCAGCTCCCAGTCCAGGCGGGCCAGGGTCTGCTGGTGGGGCTCGGTCAGGGTGATGGCAGGGCGGCTGATTTCAGGGGGGGCCTCTTTGTAGAACTCCTCCAGGCTCACCAGCTCGATCTCCTCGTGTTTGGATCTGCCAGGACACATGGATCAGCCCAGGGAAAAGTGGGAAGTGCTCAATGTGATCCATAGGAGTGTCCAACAGTGCTTCCTGCCCTACTACCGAGCCACCACCATCAATGAGCTGAACTTGTTTTGATCTCCACTGTCTGTGCCTAAAGGGGCTCCAGGAGAGCTGGAGAGGGACTGGGGACAAGGGATGGAGGGACAGGACACAGGGAATGGCTTCCACTGCCAGAGGGCAGGGATGGATGGGACATTTGGAATTAGGAATTGTTCCCTGTGAGGGTGGGCAGGCCCTGGCACAGGGTGCCCACCCTGGATCCCTGGCAGTGCCCAAGGCCAGGCTGGGAAGGGCTGGGAGCAGCCTGGGACAGTGGAAGGTGTCCCTGTCCAGGGCAGGGAGGTGGAACTGGATGAGCTTTAATGTTCCTGCCCATCCAAACCAATCCATGATCACAAACACCTGCTCTGCTCCCACAGTGAACTCAGGGAACATGGGAAGAGCTCCCATGGGTGGGAATCACCCACCCATCCCAGACACACCACTGATCCCTCTGCTCCCTGGCTGCTTACTTGAATTCCAGGCACTTGGTGATCTCTTTCTGCAGGTGCATCACCTCGTAGAGCAGGTTCTGGAGCTGCAGGTGATATGCATCAACCTTCTGCTTTGCCTGAAACACACAGCCAGAGCAGGGATGTCACCAAGAGAGACCCACCACAGCCCCACTACAGCAGACTGGGACAGCAGGTTTTAGAGTATGCAACAATTCTGGAGGGGAAGAATGATGTTTTAAAGGCTGGAGGAGCAAAGGATTGTGACAGGAGACTGATCCTGCTCCTTCCTGCACGTTTCAAAGCCAAGGCACAGACAGGGCTCATTTGCTGGGGCACACAGAGTCCCTCCTCTGAGAATTCTGGGTATGGAGCTTCCAGGCCAACCATCCACCCATTGATAAACCTGCCAACACCAGACTTTTGAAACATGGTTTCTAACCTCCTACTGCACTTGAGACAAAAGCAGATACTGCTCCTTCATTATTCATCTAATTACAGCTGCCCTGCACCCAGCAGGAGTTTATCAAGATCTGAGCCTGTCTCAGGTTGGAAGCTGTGGCTGGGGGTGTGTGTTCTATCCCCATCTGTCAGAGCTGGGGCAGCTCTCTGCTGTTCATTGGGCAGTTTTCTTTCTCTCTCCCACAGCCAATCCTCCCTCCAGGAGATCTCTGCTGTTCGTGGCCACTGAGTGTCCATGCATGGCTGAGAAAATTCCATCATCCATGGGGAGTTGCTCTGCCCAGGGGAGGAGCCGAGCATTCCTACCTGGATACAATCTGACCTGGGAACAGCACAGCAGCCTTTGCCCCCTGCATTCCCAGAGGAGCAGCTTTCTTCCCCACTGCATTCCCAGAGGAGCAGCTTTCTTCCCACTGCATTCCCAGAGGAGCAGCTTTCTTCCCACTGCATTCCCAGAGGAGCAGCTTTCTTCCCACTGCATTCCCAGAGGAGCCCAGGCCCATCTCCCCCAGCCCTGGAGCTCCAGAGGAAAACTCCCCCCTTGTGCAGGATCCTGCTCCAGCAGAAGCACAGCTGGCACTGCAGGAGGGCTGAGCCACCCTGGGATGGGACTGCTGCCACCTCCCTGACCCACGGGGGGACAGGGCATGTTCTGATTCTGGCACTGGTTTGTTTTTGTTTGTACTATTGCATTTGTATTTTTGACTTTCCTAGTAAAGAACTGTTATTCCTGCTCCCATACCTTTGCCCAAGATCCCCTTAATTTCAAAGACCATAATAATTTGGAGGGAGGGGGTTTTACATTTACATTTTCCATTTCAGGGGAGGCTCCTGCCCTCCTTAGCAGACACCTGTCTGTTCAAACCAAGACAAAGCCTGCGAACAAACCCCCAACTCAAACCCCAGGACCTGGCCGAGGTATAACCCCTCACACCACACACACAGCACAGGCAGGACCTGCCCCATCTCTGACCCCCCTAAATCCCAAGCTGCATTCCTCCCTCCCAGCCCCTCCTGGCTACCTCGTGGGTCTGGTCCCTGCCCTTCTTCAGCCGGATGTGGGCCAGGCGGTTCAGCTTCTTCAGGGTCATGAAGTGCACACAGCTCTGCACGCGCCGCTCGTCGATCTCCGACGCCTGCGGGGTGGGGAGCAGGAGAAATGGCTGCACCACCTCTGCAGGGAATTCCTGCCACAAAAGGGGCTCCACATTTCTGTCACTGGGGCTTCTGAGGGAGCCTCCTGCTGCCAGATCACAGGAGGGGGGTCCAGGCTCCTTAGAGAACCACTCCAGCCTTTTTCCCCAGGAACAGAAACAGAGATGGCTCAGCCTGAAGTACCCGACATGTCCCAGGAGCCTGGCACAAGGGAGGCTATTCCAGAGCTAAATCTCTGCCCCAGGAACCCAAGACAAGGGAAACTTCCATTTCCAGAGCTCAATTCCTGCCCCAGCAGCCTGGCAAAGGGAGGATGCTCCATTTCCAGAGCTTAATTCCTGCCCCAGCAGCCTGGCAAAGGGAGGCTGCTCCATTTCCAGAGCTCAATTCCTGCCCCAGCAGCCTGGCAAAGGGAGGCTGCTCCATTTCCAGAGCACAATTCCTTCCCTAACAGCCTGGCAAAGGGAGGCTGCTCCATGTCCCTGACTCTGCCCAGGAGACATCACAGCTCCCGCCGCCTTTCCTGTGGGATTAATGGGGAAACACCAAATGACAGACACGTTACACCACACGTGGAGGCCTCTCCTCACATTTTCCTTGATGCCCCGGCTCTTCAGCTCCTGGATCTCTGCCATGAGCCTCTGGAGCTCCTGGCAGGTCTCCCTGTAGAGCTCGTAGTCCTTGATGGGGTCTCGCAGATCCACCTCGCTCTCCTCGCTGTAGTACCTGACATCCTGCCAAGGCAAGGACACCTCCCGTGGCTCATCCCTCCCTCTGGAAAGGGCTCTGGGGGACAAGCTGCCATTTCTGCTGTGCCCACGAGTCCCATGGCTTTACACAGGGAAAAGACTCGGTTCCAACAATCCCCAACCCACCAGTCACTGAAACACTAAAAAACCTGGCAAGTTCAGGCTGTGTTTTATTGTTATAGATTTGAATTGACACCGCTGGGGCGTCTGTGCAGGGCCAGGAGTTGGACTGGAGGATCCCTGTGAATCCTTTCCAGCTCAGGATATTCTGTGATCTACATGACATGAAGGACAAGCCAGAAAGGTGATTCCTCCTCCTCCTCCTCCTCCTCCTCCTCCTCCCCGCTCCCCACTCTGGCTGACCCTACACTATCCTGCTGCTCACGGGAGGGTTTGAAGGCACCATGCAAATCCCTGAGGGATCTTCCAGCTTTGTGCTCACTCTCCAGAGGAGTGTTTGTGTCTCCTGAAAGAGATGGAAGCAGGTTTAGGAATTCACAGTGGGAGTTTAGGAAGCATTGGAAGCTGGGGGAACTGGAGCTCACAATTCACAGAATTCCAGAATGCTTTGGGTGGGAAGGGAGCACTTTAAAGCCCATCCAGTCCCATGGACAGGGACACCTTCCACTACCCCAGCTTTTCTCCAAGCCCCATCCAACCTGGCCTTGGACACTGCCAGGATGAGGCAGCCACAGCTTCTCTGGGCATTGTTTTCTAGCAGGGAAAGCCAGGCCAGCACAGAGGGGTGTGGGCGGGTCCCTGGGCAGGTCTGTACCTGGTCCGTGTCGCCCTTGCCCCTCTTGCCCTCGGCTGGGGCCCCGTCCGTGCGGATCACCTTGGGCTTCCTCTTCTTGCTGGATTCGGAGGACATGGTGCTGCGGCAGGGCTGGGGAGGGGCACAGGGTGAGTCTGTGGGGGCCAAACCTGCCTGGCCCGGGCCTCTCCCGAGCTGCCCCCGCCAGCCCCACCTGGGCCCTGCAGCATCCCTGTGCCTCCCTCCATCCTGCACCTCCCAGCCCTTCCCAGATGTGGGAACCCAGGCTTCCCTCTGGCTGCCCTGGCAGGGGTCAGGAACCCCCCTGGACAGAGCCCCCAGAGACACTGGCTGTGATCTCTGTCCATGGAAAAGAGTTTTCAATCTTACAGGATCAATTACAAGCTCTGAGTGTTTGATATCAGTAATAATTAAGTGTGGCACGGGTGCAAAAGTAAAATTTTAGGATTCTAGATTAGGGGTTCAAAGGGGACAAGATGGAGGAAATTGGGTGTGTCTTGTCCTTTTTCTCCTTCTTCATGCCCTCCATGTTTCACTGTGGTGTTGGCATTTTTCTGTTGGTTCAGGCTGGGGACACACTGTCCAACGTAGGTGACAGATATTGGCACGTTATTGTAAATCCAGCACAGGTAGTTTCTGGTATTTAATGTTTGTACCATCCCACTGAGGGCAGAGCCCCACACGCTGCCCTGCAGGACAGAGCTGCGGCAGGGCAGCAGAACATGTTAGAGATAAACAGAATAAACAACTTTTAAACAGCACAGACCAATTATGGCTTCTGCTTTGGCAGCGGGGCAGAGAGACAGAGACTTTCTACAATCTCGGAATCATCAATAGCACAGATTCTGACACCCAGCTCCCCCGGAGCAGCACAGCGAGCCCGGGGTCTGTTCCACCAAACCCCCCCGCACCCCCCAGTGCCACTGAGCTCCCTTGGGACCCCGGCCCGAGCGCTCAGCTCCTCCCCGAGCCCCCAGGCTGCAGCACACCGGATTGCGGCTTCTGCCTCACCAGAGCCTCCAGACCCCTCACAGAGCCGGGACCTTTCGCTCCTCCAGATCACCCAGAACCCCACACATCTATCCCGGGGTTCCGTTCCTCCGAGCCCCCCAGAGCCGGGACCCTCCATCTCTGCAGAGCCCGCAGAGCGCAGCACACCGGGCCCAGAGCCCCTCACTCCTCCGGAGCCGCCCCGGGCCCTCACGCCGGGACTCTCCAGAGCCCCGCGCACCGGGCCCGAGGCCTCAGCGCTCCGCCAGCACGGCGCCTTCGCCCCTCCAACCAGGACCCTCCACTTCCACTGAGCCCCTAGCACACCGAGGCACAGACCCGCCCCTCCGGAGCCTCCCCAGCCCAAGGGACCGGGACCGTTCCCTCCATCCCCCCCCGGGGCTCCCGCCTCACCCCCGGCGCTCACCGCGGCCTCGCCTCCGCGCCTCCCGGAAGTGACGTCACGGGACCACAGAGCGCGGCGCGGAGTGGCTGCCGCTGCTGCAGCGCCGCCTAGCGGCCGGGAGGACCTGCAGTGCGCACCGGGGGCGTGGCTTCAGGGAGTGGGCGTGGCTTGGCCGAGGGGCGTGGTCACCATGTGAGACCCCCCCCCAAACACACACATTGGGGGCACTGGGGGGACTGGGGGGGTTCCTGGTGCAGAAGGGCACCCACAGGGATGGAGGAGCTTGGGTGGGGTCCCAGACGCACTGATGGGTGTCCATGGGTTTGGGACGGGGTCCCTGATGGCGCCCCTTGGTTGGGGGGCCATGGGATGGGGTCCCCGATGGCACTGGGGGGTACCCATGGGCTTGGGATGGGATCCCCAATGGGGCAGGGGGTACACAGGGGCTTGGGAGGGGCACAGGATGGAGTCATTGGTGGCGTGGGAGGATCCATGGGCTTGGGGGAGGCTGGGGATGGGGTCCCCAGTGGCACTGGGGGGATCCCTGGGCTTGGGGGGGGCTGGGGATGGGGTCCCCAGTGGCACTGGGGGGATCCCTGGGCTCCAAATGGTGTGAGGAAAGGTCCCCAGTGGCACTGGGGGGATCCATGGGCTTGGGGGGGGCTGGGGATGGGGTCCCCAGTGGCACTGGGGGGATCCCTGGGCTCCAAATGGTGTGAGAAAAGGTCCCCAGTGGCACTGGGGGGATCCATGGGCTTGGGGGGGGGCTGGGGATGGGGTCCCCAGTGGCACTGGGGGGGATCCATGGGCTTGGGGGCGGCTGGGGATGGGGTCCCCAGTGGCACTGGGGGGATCCCTGGGCTCCAAATGGTGTGAGAAAAGGTCCCCAGTGGCACTGGGGGGATCCATAGGCTTGGAGGGTCATGGGATGGCATCCACTTTAGCACTGGATGGTTTCAGGGGCTTGGGATGAGGTCCCCAATGGCCTTGGGGGTGTCCGTGGGCTGGGTTGGGCCTTTACTTGGGGGGCTCAGTGGTGCTGGGGGATCCAGGAGCTTGTGGGGTTCATTGCATGGGGTCCCTGGTGGTGCTGGCAGTATCCATGACCTTGTGGGGTGCATGGGATGGGGTCCCTGGCGGCACTGGGGGGCATCCATGGGTTTGGCAAGGGGTTTTGGGGGGTCCCTCAGTGTATCCCAGCACCCATGGGTGGAGGTCTTTCGGTGCAGGAAGCACCCATGACGCGGGGCAGGGCAGCCCCCCTGACACCAGCCTGGGGGGGTCACACCAAGCACCCCCAGTCCCGCCCTCCCCACCCCGAGAGGGGCCTAGGCTTTAGCATATTAAATATTTAATTGGCAGCAAAGGCACCCGCTGGGCTCATCAGGAGCAATTAAGCACCCCCACCTCCACAGCCCCCCCAGCAGCACCACCCTGGGCACCCACCACAGCATGGGGGGCTCCCACTTCCCCTCCCTGCTCTCAATCTCCCCAGAGCACCCCAAAAGGGAGCCGGGGGGAGCAGAACCCCCAGCCCTTCCCCAGCAGGGCCGGGGCACGGGCAGGGAGCCCCTGGGGGTGCAGGGAGCCCCTGGGGGTGCAGGGAGCCCCTGGGGGTGCAGGGAGCCCCTGGGGGTGCAGGGAGCCCCCCCAGCACGGCCCCAAATCACTGCAGCGGGGAGATCTTCAGGGGAATCATTATCCGGGATTCCATGGTCCGGATCAGCGGGACTGGGGGAGGAAAGGAGGCACAGGTGAGGTTGGGGGGTCCCCACACGGGCAGGGGGTCCCCAAAGCGGGTGGGGTCCCACTCACCGGTGTAATAAACGTTCTCATCCCAGCCCCTCTTCCTCCAGGCTGCGTTCCTGGTCTCCTCCCGGGACTGCAGGTCCCTGTAGGCTGTGGGGAGAGCACGGGGTGGCACCCTGAGCCCACCCGAGCTCAGGGTGGGGGTCCCCCGGGGGTGACACCCCTTACCCCAGAGGTGATGCACCACGTAGAGCTCCCCAATCTGGGAGAAGAACCCCCCGACTGCCTCCTGGTTCTCCTGGCGGTACTTAATGGCCCGAGCCCTGCACGGAGCAGGGGACACATGGGGGGCTGCCCCAGGGGTCCCCCCTTCTCCTGAGGGGGTCTCTCCCCCCACCTTGGACCCCTCCACGCTGGGAAACCAGCGCCTTACCAGTTGTTGCCCCACTCGATCATGGTCCCTGGCTGGAAACAGGGGAGAAAAACCAGTCAGAACCCCCCTGAGTGCCCAGCTTGGAGTCTCCTCATCCAGGAAGGAGGAATTTGGGGGGCAGCCCACCAAAAGTGGGGTACACCAGCCTGAAGACCCCCCCACAACCAGGCACAGGCTGATCCCCACCTTCAGCTTGTAGGTCCTGAGCTCGTAGATGTTTGGTCCCTGGCGGGGCTGGGGCTCATTCCAGAAGCTGAACTCCAGGAGCAGCTGGTTCCTGCGGGACAGCAGCATCCGGCTCCTCTCCTTGCGGAACTCCAGGTACTCCTGGGGACAGCCCCAGCCGGGGTTTTGGGGTGGGGGCCACCGGGGGTGTCGGGCACGGGGCTGTGGCCCCCACCCCGGCGGTACCTGGTTCTGCCTCAGCTTGTTCATGCAGTCCATGAGCGCCGGGTACCCGCCCGAGAAGCGCCACAGGTGCACTGCAGAGAGGGGTTTTGGGGTGGGGACGGGGAGCAGCGCCCCAAAATCCCACCGAAATCCCTGTGGCAGCAGGAGATGCTGCCTGGCCTCACCTGCCTGGTCCTGCTCGCCGTACCAAGTGTTCCAGTTGCCCACCAGGTCACAGGGGTAGTCGGGGTCCGAATGGAGCTTGGGCAGCACCTCCTCTCTGTGGGGGCACAGAGAGGCACACTTGGGGTGGGGGGCAGCACCCCAAAACCCTCCTAGTGCCCCTCTTCCCCCTCCCAAACAGGATCTGGTGCAGGCTGGGGGATGCATCCGCTTCAGAGGGAGGGAAACTGAGGCACAGAACAGGGACACAGATCCACCCAGGAGCTCCACGAACCCTCCCACCCCTCCCAGTGCAGAACAGCACCCCAAGACCCCGCTGGGATGCTGGGAAGCCCCTCAGTGTGCTCACGTCAGCTTGTTGTAAGCTTCCAGGCATTCCGGCTTCACATTGTGAACTGCAGGGACAGGAGAGAGGGGCTGGGGACGGGGGAAGGAGCCGGAACGGGGGTCCCGTGGGTGAGGGGGGCAGCCAGCCCAGCCCTGCCCGCCTTCCTCCCGGCAGGAGCACTCACACTGGATCTTGTAGAGGTTGCTGGTCTCCTTCTTGGAGAGGAGGTTGGAATGTGCGTCCTTGCGGGGATCCACCTTGTGCACGAAGAGCGAGCGGAACCAGCTGCCCTCCACATCCCTGGAGAACCCCCTGGGGCACAGCGGGGCAGGGGGACACCGGGGATCACCGGGGATCACCGGGGATCACCGGGAATGGCCGGTTAGACGGCAAACAGGATCCAGAGGCCTCGCTGCCAGTCCCGGCCGTCATGGGCTTCTGCTCAGTTCACACTGGGAGCCCATCCCAGCTCTGTCCCCAATTCCAGGCTGTCCCCTTGGATCCAGAGGGGTTTCGGCCATACTGCCCAGCAGAGCAAGGACACCGGGGTGGGGGTGCAGGACAAGGGGGGCCCCACTGCAGTGACAGTGACCCCTCCACGGGCAAGGGGACATCCCCCACAGGATCCCCTTTACCCAGGGGCTGCTCCAGACCTGTGACCCCTCCACGGGCAAGGGGACATCCCCCACAGGATCCCCTTTACCCAGGGGCTACTCCAGAGCTGTGACCCCTCCACGGGCAAGGGGACGTGGGGCGGTGGGAGCAGCCCCCCAGCCCGTCCCGGGGGTGGCTCCGGTGCCCCGGCGAAGGTCGGGTCCCCCCAGGGCAGTGGCGGGGGGGGACGGTGCCCCTCGGCCCCGGGTCCGAGCTCGGCCGGACCTTTGTCCCCAGCGAGGCAACGACCGCGGGGCCGCTCCGGGGCCGCCCGAGGCTCCGGGAGCGCCGCGGGGTGCGGGGAGCGCTCGGGGGGTCCCCGCCCGGGGGGATGCGGGGTGCAGGGAGGGATGCGGGGTGCAGGGGGGGATCAGGAAGGCCAGGGGAGTGGGGTGCGGGGGCAAGGTGGGGCTCAGGGGTCTGAGCAGAGGGGATACCGGTGTGCCGGTCCGGGGGGATGCGGGGTCCGGGAGGCAATGGGAGGGCTCGGGGGATGCGAAGAGCGGGGAAGATCCGGGCCTCAAGGGCTCAGAGGCGGGGTCTCCACCCGGGGGGATGCGGGGTCCGGGGGAGCCGCAGGGATCAGCGGGGAGGACGCGGGGTGTCCCCGCCGGGAGAGCTGCGGGGAGCGGGGTTGGACGCGGATTCCGGGGCAGGACGAGGGGTGGGGGGATGCGGCGGGGGCTGTCGGGGCGGGGTCGGGGGTCCGCACTCACCGCGCGCCCCGCGGGGCCGCGCCCGCGCCCCCGGCCCGCAGCCGCCGCAGCGCCGCGCTCCCGCCGCGCGCTCCCGCCGCCATCTTCCGCACCGCGCCGCGCGCGCCCGCCGAGCCCCGCCCCCGCGCCCCGGCCACGCCCCCCTCAGAAGCTGGCCTGCAGCAGCGTGATTCTGATTGGCCGCCCGCCCGCACCTTCCCCCGCCCGGACACGCCCACCCGCCCCCCTCCCCCGCCGCCGCGACGCCTCATTGGATGTCGCAGCGGGGGCGGTGCCCGCCGGGCTCCTCGGCAGCCAATTAGAAGAGGCGGTTGGAGAGGCCGGTGGCTGATTGGTCGCGGTGTCTCGCTGCGGCGGGGGCTCAAGCGCGGCTCCAAGGGGGCGGGGCTTCCTCGGGTTCCGCTCTGGGGAGGCGGGGCCAGGATGGGCGGGGCCGCTCGACCAAGGGGCGTGGTCAGGGGGCGTGGTCATGGTGCGATCAATGGGCGTGGCCGATGGGCGTGTCCGGGTGTGGTCAGGGGGCGTGGCCGGGCGTGGCCAGGTGGTGTGGCCAGGGGCGTGGCCAAGGGTACCCAAGGGGCGTGGTCGGGTGTGGCCAATGGGCGTGGCCATGTACGGCCAATGGGGCGTGGCCAATGGGTGTGGCGAAGGGGCGTGGCAAAGGGGCATGGCCATGGGCGTGACAAAGGGGCGTGGCAAAGGGGCGTGGCCGATTGCCGTGACCAATGGGCGTGGCCGGGTGTCGCCAAGGGGCGTGGGTGGGTGTGGCCAAGGGGCGTGGCCAAAGGGGCGTGGCCAAGGGGCGTGGCCGGGCCGTACCTGCGGGCGCGGTCTCGGGGTGTCCCCGCGCTGTCCCCGCCGTGTCCCCGGCCCCGGGGGGACATCCCCGCGCCGGGGGCTCCTCCTGGCCCTGGGGCGCCTGTGGGAGGGCACAGGGAGCGCTGCTCCGGCCGGACCCACCGCCGCTCCCGCCCCACAGCCCCCTCTGCCCCATTGCCCCCTTCTCCCTGCCCCCACTAGGCCCCTCTCTGCCCCATCACCCCCCCCATTTCGCCCCATAACCCCCTCACCACGCAGATCTGCACCACGATCACCCCAGTACTTGCTCCCCTCATATTTCCCCCATTTGAATTCTCCCCCACCCCAGATCTCACCTCGCTGTGGGGCAGTGCAGGGACTGGGGGGCAGCCAGGAGGGGGCACGGGTGGGCCCCCGAGCCCCTCAGCCGGGCAGTGCGTGGGCAATGGGGGCGAGGGAGGGTCCGCACCCCGCGATTCCTGCAGGGAGAGGGAGCGGGCCGAGCTGGGAAGGGGGCGAAAAACACGAGTTAAAGGGTTAACTGCTCCCAAAACCCCGCCAAAACCTCTGTGACCCCCTCCCCAAAATCTCCAACCTCCTCCTGCCGCCTGGAATCCCCCAAAGCCCTGGAAACCCAGGCTCCCCGGGCAGCCCCCCGGTGCCCCCCGTGCCCCCCGTGCCCCCTCACCCGGGCAGGGGCGATGCCCCCCGGCGCAGGGCACAGACCCAGGCGTGCAGCTCCTCGGGGGTCTCCGCCCCCAGGCAGTAGGTCCGCATCCCGGCGTGTTCAGCCTGGGAAAGGGGGGATCCTTCCTAGCCCCGTCCCCTCCGCGCTGGGATTTGGGGTCCCAGGGGTCAGGGCTGACCGTGAAGAGGAACTGGGGGGCGCGGGGGGCGCGGGGGGCGGCGGGCAGGACGCGGATCTCGTAGCCGGGCAGGGGGAGGCCGCCCCGCACTTGCTGCTCGCTGCTGTCTGGGGGGGCAGAGGAAGGGCACAATGGGGGGCACCGTCTGCACCCCGAGATCTCCAGGACCATCAGGGGGATGTCGGGGACCTCCTCTGATGCCCCCAAACCTCCCGGACCTCCAGAGCTTAGAACTCCACCAAGGAACTCTTCAAACCCACAGGGAGCCCCGATCCTGGGGAATCCCTGATCCATCCAGAGACCCCCCAAATCTCCAGGAATTCCCAATGTTCCAGAGACCCCCCAGTCTCCAGGAATTCCCAATGTTCCAGAGACCCCCAATCCCCAGGAATTCCCAATGTTCCAGAGACCCCCAATCCCCAGGAATTCCCAATGTTCCAGAGATCTCCCAATCCCCAGGAATTCCCAATGCTCCAGAGACCCCCCCAGTCCCCAGGAATTCCCAATGTTCCAGAGACCCCAATCCCCAGGAATTCCCAATGTTCCAGACCCCCCAGTCCCCAGGAATTCCCAATGTTCCAGAGACCCCCAAATCTCCAGGAATTCCCAATGTTCCAGAGACCCCCAATCTCCAGGAATTCCCAATGTTCCAGAGACCCCCAAACCTCAGGAATTCCCAATGTTCCAGAGACCCCCAATCTCCAGGAATTCCCAACGTTCCAGAGAGCCCCCAGTCCCCAGGAATTCCCAACGTTCCAGAGACCCTCAATCCCCAGGAATTCCCAATGTTCCAAAAACCCCCAGTCTCCAGGAATTCCCAACATTCCAGAGACCCCCAATCTCCAGGAATTCCCTGACTCCTCCAGAGACCCCCCAGTCCCCAGGAATTCCCAATGCTCCAGAGACCCCCAAAATCTCCAGGAATTCCCAATGTTCCAGAGATCCCCAATCCCCAGGAATTCCCAATGTTCCAGAGACCCCCCCAATCTCCAGGAATTCCCAATGTTCCAGAGACCCCCAGTCCCCAGGAATTCCCAATGTTCCAGAAACCCCAATCCCCAGGAATTCCCAATGTTCCAGAGACCCCCAATCTCCAGGAATTCCCAACGTTCCAGACCCCCCCCAGTCCCCAGGAATTCCCAATGTTCCAGAGACCCCCAACCCCAGGAATTCCCAATGTTCCAGAGACGCCCAGTCCCCAGGATTTCCCAATGTTCCAGAGACCCCAAACCCCAGGAATTCCCTGACTCCTCCAGAGACCCGCAATCCCCAGGAATTCCCAATGTTCCAGAGACTCTCAATCCCCAGGAATTCCCAACGTTCCAGAGACCCCCAGTCCCCAGGAATTCCCAATGTTCCAGAGACCCCCAGTCCCCAGGAATTCCCAATGTTCCAGAGACCCCAAATCTCCAGGAATTCCCAATGTTCCAGAGACCCCCCCAATCCCCAGGAATTCCCAATGTTCCAGAGACCCCCAATCCCCAGGAATTCCCAATGCTCCAGAGACCCCCCCAAATCTCCAGGAATTCCCAATGTTCCAGAGACCCCCCAACCCCAGGAATTCCCAATATTCCAGAGATCCCCCCAATCCCCAGGAATTCCCTGACTCCTCCAGAGACCCCCAAATCCCCAGGAATTCCCAATGTTCCAGATACCCCCAAAATCTCCAGGAATTCCCAATGTTCCAGAGACCCCCAATCTCCAGGAATTCCCAATGTTCCAGAGACCCCCAAATCCCCAGGAATTCCCAATGTTCCAGAGACCCCCCAATCTCCAGGAATTCCCTGACTCCTCCAGAGACCCCCAAACGCCCCAGGGATCCTTGACCCCACTGACTGCCCCAGGGACCCCCCAGCCCCCCAGGATTCCTGTTCCTCCAAGGGCTGCCCAACACCCCAGGAGCCCTGAGCCCCCCGGGACCCCCCAGTGACCCAGGGACACCCCGGGATCGCTGACTCCCCCCCGCAGGGACACCAGGTCACCCAAACCCCCTCATCCGCAGGTCCCCACGCCCCCCGGGTGTCTCCAGCCCCCCGTGCCCCCCTCACCCCGGTAGTAGTAGAGGCAGAGATCCACCAGTACAAACCAGCGGCGCTTCCAGAGCCGCAGCCCCGAGCTGTCCTGAGAAACGGGGGTGGGGGGATGGGGGCTGAGCCCCCGCAGCCCATCCCCCCACCCCCCGGGACCCTCTGCTGCCCCAGACCCCTCAATCCCGTCCGATCCCCCCAAGCTCCTCACTCCCGTAACCCCCCAGCACCTTCTTCCACCTCCGACCCCATAACCGCCCCACACTGCCCCATCCCACCGCGTGTCCCCACACCCCACGACCCTCCCTCACCGCCCACTGACCTCCCCCAGCCCCACACCCACCCCCATAATCCCCTGACACCCCAGACCCTCCCACCCCATACACCCCCCAGCTCCTCCCCACCGCCCCAGGTCTTCCCAAAACCCACAACCCCCCCAGAAACTCGCACCTCAGACCCCCATAGGACCCCTGAGCCCCCTCCCCAGCCCCCCCGGCCCCCTGCCTCACCTGCTTGTGCAGCCAGCCCTGCATGGCGGGGGGGGTGCGGGGGTCCCTCCGCAGCGCCTGCTCCCCCTTTCCAAAGGCGTGGACCCTCGGCACGGGCCGGCAGGGCTGGGCAGGGGGGTCACCCATTGCGGGGGGCCCCCCAGCACCCCTACAGCCCCCCAGCCCTCCTACCCCTATTTGTACCCCACAAAGCCCCCCCAGCTGCCCAGAGCTCCCCCCTTGTGCCCCATAAGTCCCTATGGAGTTTTGGGCTCCCCCGTACACCCCAATGCTCCACACGCCCCCTTCGCGCTCCCTCGGGTGCCCAGGGTACCCCAACCCCCCCCACAGCCTCTACGACCCCCCCACCCCTCCCCGTGGTTCCCCAGTTCCCCCTCACCGCCCCCACCCCCTTCGCCCACCTGGCTGCGGGGGCCAGCGGGGTCCCGGCGGGCGGGGTCGTCGCTTTCTGCCATGGGGGGTCCTGCGGGGGCAGCGGGCAGAGGGGGGGTCCCCATCAATGTCCCCATTGTCCCCATGAGGACAGAGGCCCCGTTCTTCCCGCTGCGGGGGCGGGGGCTGCTCCCGGACGCCTGAGTCCCCCCAGGGGTGTCGGGGGGGCTTCTCGGCTCCCGCTGGTCCCTTCCCCCTCCTGCTCCTGCCGGATTTTGGTCCGCCCCGTCCCGGTTTCTGTCCAAGTAACCCTAAACTGGTCCCAGTTCCCCTCCCAGTATCGCTGGGCTGATCCCATCCCTGCCGTTATCCCCGTGCCGGTAACTCTGAGCCGATCCCAGGTCCTGTTCCGTTCTCCCGTGTCCGTGCCAGTTCCCAGCCCGTTATCCCACACCGATCGGGGTGGCGGTGCCGTCCCCTTGCCCTGGTGACGGGTCCCAGCCACCGTCCCACCATCCCCGGGGCGGTCCCGGTTCCGTTACCGCAGCTGGTTCTGCTCCCGGTCCCGGTCCCAGTCCCAGTCCCGGCCGCAGTCCCTGTCCCTGTCCCGGTCCCGGTCCCGATCCCAGTCCAGTCCAGGTCCCAGTATCTGTCCCTGTCCCGATCCCTGTTTCGGTCCCAGTCCCAGTCCCGGTCTCAGTCCCAGTCCCGGTCCCTGTCCCTGTCCCTGTCCCTGTCCCTGTCCCTGTCCCTGTCCCTGTCCCTGTCTCTGTCCCTGTCCCAGTCCCAATCCCGATCCCAGTCCCTGTCCCTGTCCCAGTCCCAATCCCGATCCCAGTCCCAGTCCGGGTCCCAGTATCGGTCCCTGTCTCTGTACAGATCCCGATCCCGATCCCAGTCCCTGTCCCTGTCCCTGTCCCTGTCCCTGTCCCGATCCCTGTCCCGGTCCGGATCCCAGTCCAGTCCAGGTCCCAGTATCTGTCCCTGTCCCGGTCCCTGTCCCTCTCCCTGTCCCGGTTCCTGTCCCTGTCCCAGTCCCAATCCCGATCCCGATCCCGGTCCCAGTCCCGGTCCCAGTATCTGTCCCGGTCCCAGTCCCAGTCCCAGTCCCAGTCCCGGTCCCTGTCCCTGTCCCAGTCCCTGTCCCGGTCTCTGTCCCTGTCCCTGTCCCTGTCCCAGTCCCGGTCCCTGTCCCAGTTCCTGTCCCGGTCCCAGTCCCGGTCCTGCCCCGTGTCCCCGCCCGCCCCGGGCGCCGGTCCCAGTCCCAGTCCCGGTCCCAGTATCTGTCCCGATCTCGGTCCCAGTCCCAATCCCGGTCCCAGTCCCTGTCCTGCCCCGTGTCCCCGCCCGCCCCGGGCGCCGGTCCCAGTCTCTGCCCCCACACTCGGCTGTCCCCGGGACCGCGCGGGTCCCCTCGCCCCGGCAACCACCGAGGGGGGCAGCACCCCGTGTCACCGAGGGAACCCCGTCCTGCGGGGACACCCGCGGCACTGGGGGCACCCACGGCACTGGGGACACCCACGGCACTGGGGACACCCGCGGCACTGGGGACACCCCAAGGACGTCACGGACCCCCAAAGCCCTCAGATCTCAGCGATCCCTGACACCCCAAGGACCCTTAGGTCCCACGGGCTCTGCACACCCCACGGACACCCCCAAATCCCGGACACCCGACACGCCAGGGTCCCCTGACATCATCCCTGCCTCCCGTGTCCCGGTGTCTCTGTGCCCCTGCCTCCCGTGTCCCTGACGCCCGTGTCTCCGTGTCCCAGTGTCTCCGTGTCCCGGTGTCCCGGTATCCCGGTGTCCCCGTGTCCCGGTGTCCCGGTGTCCCGGTGTCCCCATGTCCCCGTGTCCCGGTGTCCCCGTGTCCCGGTGTCCCCGTGTCCCCGTGTCCCGGTGTCCCGGTGTCCCCGTGTCCCCGTGTCTCCGTGTCCCGGTGTCCCCGTGTCCCGGTGTCCCGTGTCCCGGTGTCCCGGTGTCCCCATGTCCCCGTGTCTCCGTGTCCCGGTGTCCCGGTGTCCCGGTGTCCCGGTGTCCCGGTGTCCCCGTGTCCCGGTGTCCCGGTGTCCCCGTGTCCCGGTGTCCCGGTGTCCCCGTGTCCCCGTGTCCCGGTGTCCCGGTGTCTCCGTGTCCCCGTGTCCCCGTGTCCCCGTGTCCCGGTATCCCGGTGTCCCCGTGTCCCCGTGTCCCCGTGTCCCGGTGTCCCCGTATCCCCGTGTCCCCGTGTCCCGGTATCCCGGTATCCCGGTGTCCCCGTGTCCCCGTGTCCCCGTGTCCCCGTGTCCCCGTGTCCCCCGCGCCGGGTCTCGGTGTTCGTCCCCGCCTGCAGAGCGCTCCGCCCGCCACCAGAGGGCGACACCACCCCGCCCCATCGCTTCCGCACACCGCCGTAATGGCTCCGCCTCACCCCGCCCCTTCTCTTGAGCGACATTCTTTCTACCCAATCACAGCCACTTCTCCTCCCGCCTCTTCATCACACCCATTTCTATTGGCTGAGAGGGGCGGCGGGGCGGGCGCGCCGCGCTGCGCGGCCAATGGCAGGGCGGAGGGGGCGTGGCCAGGCCGCCATGGCGCCGCCGCCGCGCTGACCGTGCCGCGCCGCCATGGCCGGGGCCATCGCGTCCCGCATGAGCTTCAGCTCCCTCAAGCGCAAGCAGCCCAAGACCTTCACCGTGCGCATCGCCACCATGGACGCCGAGATGGAGTTCAGCTGCGAGGTGACGCTCGTGCGGGCGCGGGGGTCCCGCTGAGGGGGACGGGCCCCCCACCCCCCCCAGCCCTGAGGGGCCCCTCAGGTCCCTCCCGGCCCCCTCACCCTCCGCCGGTACCGGGGCCTGCCCGGGGCCGGCAGCGGCACTGCCTTGTTCTGGTTATAAATCCGCGTTATCCTGCTGTGATTGTGGTTATAATTGCACAGAAATCTGGCTATAATTCGGCTTTTCTTTTGTTGTAATTCACCTTTACTTTGGTTATGAATCGGTGGCATTTGGCTTTACTTTGGTCATAAGTTGGCTTTGTTTTGGTTGTGATTCAGTGTTATTGTGTGTAAAATTCAGTTGTATTCTGATCATAGTTTGGCTTAGTTGTTGTCATTAATCCTTATTATGTGTGTAATTCAGCATTGTTTTGGTCATGAATTTTTTTTTTTTTTTCCTGTGTATAATTTGGCTTTAGCCTGGGTGTAATTTGGCATTATTCTGCTTATTATCCATCCTATACTTTGGTTATAATTCAGCTTTATTTTGGCAATTTTTCATCTTCACTCCAGGTGCAGTTTAGCTTTATTTAGGTTATTATTTGGCTTCATTCCGATTACAATTCGATCTCATCCTGGGTGCAATTTGGCATTATTCTGGTTATAATTAATCCTATACTTTGGCTATAATTCAGCTTCATTCTGGGTATAATTCAGTTATATCCTGGTTATAATTCAGCTTTATTCTCATTACAATCCAGCTTCCCTTGGGCTCTAATCCAGTGCTGTCCTGCCATCCCAGCCCAAGTCACCACTACCCTGTGGCTGTCACAGGGCTTGAGGAATCTCAGTGTCAAGGCTTAAATCCACAGGAATCCAACACCCAAGGACCGAATTTTGGCATTTTCCTGAGCTCTTAGCTCACCATGAGGCTGAGGGATGCTCCAGGGGGTTGGGTCTGGCTTTTCTGTGATAATTTCCCTTTTTGGGGCCCTTGGAACTTGTAAGGCGTTCTCTCAGGGCGTTGCTGCCAAACCTTGGGATCTGCTCTGCTTTTTCAGCTGATCCAGAGGGGTTGGATTGAAACCAAACACAAACATTGAAACCCTGCTCCAACCTCTGCATTTAATAGTTTATATTTCATTATCCTGCCCCAAACCCTGAGGGAATCCCAGTGCCCATCAGCCAAGGGGAGTTTGTCATCCCCGATTTCCTTGCTCATGAAATCTGCTCTCAGCCCTGAAGAACTTCCTGCTTTTCCTAGGGATTAAGGATTTGCTCTGGGCAGCCGTGTGAGCTTCCCACGTCCAGCAGAGTGCGACTGTCCTGGCTGTGTTTGTGCTGGTTTCCCGAGGCTGCAGCAAAAACTGATGGTGGAAAGTAAATAATTGTGAATTTCAGCGCTGTGGCCGGGTGTCACTTCCCGCTGGGATCAGGGGGGGTTTGTGCAGCGCTCCCGTGGGATTTGGCTGTGGAACTGCTGCATCTCCAGCTGACTTTTCTGGGAGGTGCCTGCCAAAAGAACTTGTTGCTGCAGAGCTGGAAGGAGCTCAGGCCCTGCTGAGGGCTCCTTGTGGTGGAGCTGGTGCAGGGGGGATGCAGAGGGAATTCAGAGCTCATCCTTCAGCAGGGAATATTGGAGCAGGAGTGGGCATGGATGGATGGATGCAGGTGGGTGATGGAGCTGTTTCACACCTTGCAGGTGAGGAGTGAGTTTTTTTATGGAATTGTGGAATGGTTTGGGTGGGAAGGGATGTTAAAGCTCATCCTGTTCCACCCCCCGCCATGGGTAGGGACACATTCCAAGCTACTCCAAGCCCTGTCCAACCTGGCCTGGGACACTGCCAGGGATCCAGGGGCAGCCACAGCTGCTCTGGGCACCCTGTGCCAGGGCCTGCCCACCCTCCCAGGGAACAATTCCTTAGTCCCAATCTCCCATCCAGCCCTGCCCTCTGGCAGTGGGAGCCATTCCCTGTGTCCTGTCCCTCCATCCCTTGTCCCCTGTCCCTCTCCAGCTCTCCTGGAGCCCCTTTATGCCCTGGAAAGTGCTCTGAGCTCTCCCTGGAGCCTTCTCCTCTCCAGGTGAGCACCCCCAGCTCTCCCAGCCTGGCTCCAGCCCTTGGAGCAGCTCTGTGGCTTTCTGAGGTGTGGCTTTTATCCAAGCTCCAGCTGAGCAGTGCAGCTCCCTGGCTGGATCTCTGTCCCAGTTTTTGTCTTGCTCTGGGGACAGCTCCTCACTGTGCTGACTGTGCAGAAGCATCCCTGGGCACAGGGATCACACACACCTGGAGTGCCCCGGGTGGGAAGGTGGCCCAGGGAAGGGCTCAGCTTGCTCTGCACCCACAGTCAGACCTGGAGCCAGGAGTGGAGTTTGTGCCCTCCTGGGAGTCAGTGGGGTGGCAGAGTTGATTTTTGGGACAGACTACTCCTCCCTGAAGGAGTCTGGCTCCTATCCCAAGGTTTGCCAGGAGAAGAGTGAGCAGCACTGTTTACCCAGCTGTCTGTGTGCTTTGAGGTGCCTTTGGCCAGGAAGGAGAGGGAAATCTGCCTCATAAACACTTGGGAGTATGAGTGGAAGGAGGTGCAGTGGGAATCCTGCGGTTTGGGGGCTCTTTAGATGTGTTTTTGTAGCCTGTGAGTGGCACCTTGTACTGACAGGGACAGCGAGCTGCTGATCTGTTGGATGTCTGGAACTGGTCTTCCATAATCCTTTGGGATTCCTCCCAGCTCAGGATATTCCATGATTCCATGATCCAGCTGGAGCTGCTGGAGACTCACTTTCTTTCTCAGTCTTAATTTTTCAGTCTGCTCCCTAGAAATCCCCAGCTGTGCATTTTAAGGGATTAAACCTGCTTTGCATGTTTATTCTGCAGTTGATGTCTCTAAATTGAGCCTAAATCTAAAATAATTCCTAGAAATGAAATCTTAATCTTTCTAACACAGTGATGGAGATTAATAATCACGGTTGGGGTTTCACTTTAAAGACTTCAGATTTGTTTGGGGAAATCTTGAAGCGTCTTCCTTTTGCTACTTCCATCTTGGAGGTTTGAGCTGTACCTAATTAATTGATAACATCTGGAGGAAGGGTAGACATTTGCACAGCTCTTGAATCCTTGTGCTAAAGCAACCCCAGCTGCCTCACCTTCTTGAGAACCTTGGACACCCATGTGGAAGCCTCTTCCCTGGGAGGGTGGGCAGGCCCTGGGTGCCCAGAGCAGCAGTGACTGACCCTGGATCCCTGGCAGTGCCCAAGGCCAGCCTGGGACAGGGCTTGGAGCAGCCTGGGACAGTGGAAAATATCCCTGTCCAAGGCAGGGAGGTGCAGCAAGATGGGCTTTCAGTCCCTTCCAACCCAAACCATTCCATGAATTATTCAATAATGAAAACCCCGTGGTATTTTTGAGTCCAAAGCACTGTTTATCCCACGTCTCTGGTGGGATGGCAGAGGTGTGGTGTGGCTGATGTCAGGTTGGTCTCCCCTCCTTGCCACGTGCAATTTTTTCCCTCTCAGAACCAAGTTCCCTGGCTGATGGGAGAACCCATTTCTTGTGGTCTCCTGGGTGTCTTTGCCAATTTCTTCCTCTTGCGGTGCTCTGCCCCGTTAGTGTCTCTCCATGACAGAGCCACAGCCCGTTTTCCAAAGGGTCTGTTTGTCCCTTTCTGTTGTTGTGCTCTTGGGCTTGAATCCTGCAGGGATGGTCACTCCATCAAGGTGCAGCTCGCTGCCCAGCTGCTTCCCAACCTTTATCTTTTGCTGTCTTAGAAATGAATTGGAGAAGCTTTACAGCCAGCCTGGAGGAACAGCTTAAGTGTTCAAGCAGCGGGAAGAGGCAGGTTTGTCCTGATCTATTTGCTGGTCTAAACATGCATCCAGTTATTGCTTCACTGCTTAAGCTGTTGCTCTCTGTCCAGAGGATAATCCTGGTTGGAAGGGATCTTTATTTTAGCCCCGTGCCCCACTCGGTGCAGGGCCAGCTGGATGAGGTTGGGTGTAAAGCCCTTGTAAGTAGAAGAGTCCTGATTTCGGCCATATGTGGCCGAGTGCTGTCCCTTTGTCACCAGACACAGGGACTTGTGTAGCTGAGCTGCAAAGCTCATCTTCTGGAACAGGAACAACCGAGGATTTCGTGGTGGAAATCTGGGTGGAAATGAGTTTTTGAGGAAGAGCTGGTGCAGTAAATCCAAGCTGAGTTTTGAGCTGTGTCCAGTCACTGCACCAAAATAAAAAGGCAGGAGGAGGAAATCAGGGAGTGGAATGCCCTTGGCTTCCTTCTGCATTGCAGGATACTTGCAAGGGGGTTTATAAAGACCCATACATTCCCAGTTTCAGGCAGCAGGGTGCTGGTAGGCACAGTGACCTCTTGGTGCTGCAAAGCTTCTGTGAGTGGACACAAACTTAACAGGAAAAGACCATTCTGTGTGCAGGAACAGCTGTTTAAAAAAGCTGAGAGAAATAATCCCTCTGAGCTACAACACGATCCCAAATAAATTGTTGGGATACCAGCTGTCAAGTCAATGTTTTGTACTTCCATGTGCCTGTGTGTCCTGATCTTGTGCCAGCACTCAGGAGCACGTGCTGCTCTCTTTGAGACACAGCAGGTAAGGGCTGTTTCCTCACTCATGTCTTGGAGGGGTTTATGCTCCAAAACCTCAGAATTTCTGATTCACACCAGTGGCATTTGGGAGCTGATGTTTTGGAGGTGTCTTGCTTGGTGCAGTTCATTCCCTTAAGTTGTGCTTTTGACTGTGGACGTGGATCCTCTTTGGCTTTGGTGCCTCACCCTGCACCTGCAAAGTTCTCTGGATCCCCTGCTCCCATCACAGCCTCTTCCAAGCCAGTTGGAAGCTCCTGTTACTTCTCTCCAAAGACTGTTCAAGATTGCTGTCAATTCCCCGACTCTGTTAATTAATCCAGAGATGTGTTGATGCAGAGGGGAAGGAGGGAGGGCATTTGGGACAGTAAATCTTTCTCTTTTGGTGTGTAGACTCCAGTTTTAATGCACTTTAATACCTCTTTTTTTT